GAAGAGCGTAGTCAATGTCACTGAACTGTGCATGTAGAAATTTTTGAAATGGTATATCTTTGGCTATGTGTATTTTCACCAAAAAAAAGGTTGAGAAGTTAGAGGGTTAATATGTTGTGGGGTTGTTAACCCATGTCATAAAACAATATGTGTACTAGTGTTTCATGAGAAACTATTTGTTCTATAAGACTTCACCTGAAGTAGAAAACAAACAAACAAAGAAACAAGAGAGTGCACAGACTAAGAAATGATTGAGCTGAAATCTCCCCAAGTTGGTCAATTGCCTGATGAATATAACAAAAGATTTATTGTAATCTAAATTTCTTCTTTGGCACTAACGTATCTTTTGCATGTTTTCTTTGTTGGTGAAGTTTCTGTCCTTAAGGTTACTTTTTCTTTTTTTTTAATTCCAGAATTTTTTTCTCGTACTTATTAAATAGAATCAAAGAAACTCATAGCTATAAAAATAAACATAGACTGTTTACTTTAACTTAAACCTGGAAGTATATGTTTTCTCTATATTTATGTTGGTCTTAAACATTTCTTTAAATCTTGACACTGTCTCTATCTTTTCTACTGTTGCCTTAGTCGGTGCATTGTTATGTCTTGCTTAGCAATATAGTAATAATGTAAGCAGTTCACAAATGATCTCCCAAATACTGTTCTCTGACTACCTCAAACCCGTCATTTACATCTGCAGGAATTACCTTGCAAAAACAAACCAAATTCTTTTTTAAGTCTACTTAAATAATTATTTCAAGTACTATCTCTTTTTGAAATGCAACACTTCTATCACCAGAAATATGGAGACCCTTCATGCTTTAAATATCCCTAATATTTTTTAATAATTTATTTTATTTTTGTCACTGTTGTTGAGACTATAGACAACAGAACATACGCCAATTCAACAATTTCTACATGTACAATTCAGTGACATTGATTACTTTCTTCATGTAGTGCAACCAATTTCACCCTCTTTTTCTGAGCTGTTCTTCCTCCATTAACATAAACTCACTACCTCCTGAGTTTCCTGTCTAATCTTTTGAGCTCCTGTTGTCAGTTTGATCCCATATAGGTAGATCTTAAAAGAGGATAATCCTCACGGCAGATATTCTTTATGCGTTAACTATGGTTTGGTTTTAAGAAGACTTCAGAGGATATTTTTAGCTTAAGGATTAAAGATTATCTCACGGCAATAGTTTCTAGGGTTCATCCATCCTCCACGGTTCCAGAAAGTCTGGATGCCATGAATATTTGAAATTCTGTTTTGTATTTCCCCCCTTTTAATCAGGATTCTGCTACAGAATCTTTGATCAACACGTTCAGTAATGGTAGCTGGGCACCACCTGGTTCTTCTGGTCTCATGGCAGAGAAAGCAGTTATTTATGGAAGTAATTAGCAATACATCCATTTCCTCCTCCTATTCCTGACTCTCCTTCTTCATCTGTTGCTCCAGGCAAATAGAGACCAATTTTTGTGCCATGGATGGCCACCTGAAAACTTTTAAAACCGCAAGCACTACCAGTCATTGTGAAAAACAGTGCACTGATTCCTCAAAAAACTAAAAATAGAACTACCATATGATCCAATTTCACTCCTAGGTATATATCCAAAAGACTTGAAAGTAGAGATTCATTAGATACCTGTACACCAATGTTCACTGCAGCACTATTCACAATAGATAAAAAGTGGAAATGACCTAAGTGCCCATCAACAGATAAACGGATAAACAAAATGTGGTACGTACATACAATGGAATACTACTCAGCCAATAACATTCAATCAAGTCTTGGTACATGCTGCAATATAGATGGAGCTTGATGACATTATGCTCAGTGAAAACAGTCAATTACAAAAGGACAAATATTGTATGACCTCACTTATATGAAAAAACAAGGTAAATGTATAGAAACCAAATTTTATTAGTAGTTACCAGGGGTGGGAGGAAAGGGGAAAGAGGGGTTATTTCTTATGGATCATTGAGTTTTGGTTTATGGTGGTGGAAAAATTACTGTGTAGGGCTGCACAGCCTAATACTGTAAGTGCTGTCAGTAAGCTGTATGATATAAAAAGTTAAATTGGCAAAAGCTGTATAATAGATATATTTAATTTTCTAATCTTGACATACAACATAAACATGATTTCTTTACGTTATTACCACTTCATACTTGACTACTATTCTCACCCAATTTTCTAATTCCCTATCTTACAATCTTAGTAATATAAGGATTAATGAACTTGTTGTCAGTGGTTTAAGAATTAAGAATGTGATTAACGTTATAGGCCCACTTCCCCAAGCTTCACATATCCACCAGCCACAAAATACACATAAACACAATTTTACCTGTCATTTCAGAGATTAAAGTCTCCTTAAAGTTGAGTTTTGGATTGCATAATAAGCACATAGATAAATTTGCATTGCAAGCTAGTTTAAAGACACAAGTATCAGAATCAGGGTGAACTAGTAATCCTTCCTCTCATTAGTTAAGAGAACTTAATGTTCTTGTTCAATTTCCCTGTGCCCTACTTACCCTCCAAAAATGAGGTGATTAGGTTATGTGGTGTCTGCATTCCCCTTAGGTCCCATTATCAAGATTACATAATTCCAACTGCTAGGAGCTATTCATAACTCACCTCCATTGAGTAAGATGTTTTATCTCTCTATAAATGTCTGAAATATCATGCACTGAGTTTTGAGAAGTATCCTTAGATGACCACACAATATGCATTTTGATCAAAGAATGAACACATTATTGCATTTTAGGTCAAATTAATTATTTTCAAAAACAGGGAAGCGAGGAATTAATACCTGCAGTGTGTGCGTGCGTGTGTGTATATATATACATGTAGTTTTTTAATCTTCTGGATACTGTGTTGGGATAAAATGCTTTATGTATATTATCTAATTTGATCCTCACCAAACTTCCGAGGATCATTTTAGTCTCCATCATGAGATTTCCCTTAAAAAATAGTATTTGATTAAAACAGAAGCAATATATGAATACAAATAAAAAATGGATCATGATGCTTACTTTTGATATAGTATTTTTCAGTAGGTCATAGCTATTAAAACAGAGTCACATGTAATTACCTGTGGTGGCAGCAGAGGCAGTCTTATAAAGGCAAGAAGCATACTTAGATCATTGCATCTCCTCTGTGTGTCATACTTGACCCACATCATTAATGCATGGAAGATGGTTTCTTCATCAGGAACATTAACATCATCACTGGCTAGGAGTTTATGGAGTTCCTCAGCTGGAAGGAGTAAAAACTCTTGATTTCTGATAACTTCCATTATGTTTTCCTGCAGGGAGAAAACATCTTGGCATAAATTCTGTTTTACTTTTATTTAGCTAGTAAAGTATCTCAGAAAGAAATGAGAAAAGTAGTCAATAACCTTTGTTCTCATTATAACATAATCCTTGAGACTCAGTCCTTTAGAAACTAGAAGCTGTTAAGATAAAAGCATTGTAATTATAATTGAAGTGTAAATGTATTCATGACAGCACAGATCTTGTAATAACTGGAGGATTATAATGTTGAGCTTTGTTACACAGGCAGAATGTACTAAATGATTAAATGTTCAAGTTTCAAGAGGACCCTATATAAGATTTGGTGAATATGAAAGGAATCACATTTCAAATTTTTAAAAGCTTGACAACATATACATGCATAAGAAAGTGAGAGTAAAATAACAGAGGAAAGTAACATGATGAGAATGCACATTGTTAATTCAAAAGGGAAAAGCAGGAAAGTTAGGCCACAGAAGTCACAAACTCCCACGTGTTGCACCCTCTTATCTTTTATGTCTCCCTCCTCTCATAACAATTTCTCTGGCTTAATTCAGATTCCCATGTCTTCTCTTCCACATTGCTGCCATAATCTCCTAATTGCTCTGCCCGTCTCTACCCTTAACTTCTTGACTGTATCTTCTATAATGATGCCAGAATGATACTTCTCAAACAGAAATGTGACCATGGCATTACTCTGAAGTTGTCTTGTCCTTTGCTTCAGTGTCCCCTTGTCTTTTGGTTCAAACCTCTAGTTTAAGCTCTCCGGCTCTCCATGATCTGCCCTCTTCTTACTTCTAATATTTCGTTTTCTCTCTTAGTTGAATTTTAGTCACAAAAATTACTCATCTTTCTTTCAATTTACCATGCTGTTTGGCATGTCCTTCTTCACCCACTCTATTGCTTTAAATGACTTTATCCATCTTCTTTTCCTAATTCCTATTATTTTTCAAGATTCGGTTCAAGGGCTACCTCTTGTATACTGAGCCCTCTCTTCACTCCCAGCTGCTCTGGCTACACCTCCTCTGTCCTCTCACAGCTTGTGGTGTGAATATTGCAGACACAGCAGTTACCAAACTGAGCTTAAACTTTGGATCACTGAAAGGGTCTTATCACAAACTGTAAGCTACTTGGGACAAAGATCCAAAGATCCTGACTTATTTTACTTTGTATATGTAGCTTCTGGCATAAAGTCTGGAACACAGAAGGTACAGAGTATGTATTTATTGAATAGATGCACTGATGATCTTCACGGAGAAAAATAAAGAAAAAGATAAATAAAAATAAAATGTGAGGGACAGTATGCTGTTTTTCAAACATATTTTCTAAAGTTGTTATTGTTAGTTGCCATCATAACAATTTTCGGCTCCAATTCATGCATACAGAACAAAATATTGCATCATCCTGCATCTTCTTCATGCTCAGTGGTATGTTTGGGTCCATCGTTGATGGTCAATACATCAAACTGAGGCTTCCCTCATTTTCGCTGACCCTCTACTTGTCCAAATATGATGTTTTTTCCTGATGATGTGTCCAAATTAAGCAAGCCTAAGTGTCACCATCTTGCTTCTAAAGAGCATTCTGGTTGCATTTATTCTAAGACTGATTTTTTTTGTTGTTGTTGTTGTTCTTTGGGTACTCCATATTATATTCAGTATTCTTCACCAACACCCAATTTGAATGCATCAATTCTTCTTCTGTCTTCCTTTTTCATTGTATAGCTTTCACATGCATCAGAAGTGATTGAAAAGACCATGGCTTGGGATACCTGAAAATAATTCTTACATTTTAAGCAGAGAATCTTCTGTGGCTAACGTATGGTTACAGCTGGATAGCTGATCTGCTCCACTACTCTACCCCTTAAGACACCTCCGAGGAAGATATACCTAAAGTTTCTCAGATTATATTTTTAAAGCCTCAGCTGCGGTAGAATTCCCAGTAGGACCATTGGTTTAGAATAAAACCTGTGGTGAGAATAGCACCCTTCCAAGTAAAGGCATTGTGGCTATTGGCAGCCCTAACTGTGCCTTCGAGTCTTTAAGTGGAATTTGCAGGTGAGTCGGAACAGGTATCTATGGTTCTTATTTAGCTTTACTTCAGTGCAAGAAATGGCTCAAATCTTTTTCAATGATTTAAAAGCTGTACATGCAGCCAGAGAAGGTGATGGTGATGAAGAATTTGTTGTGAGTACGGGTTGGTTCAATTGTTTCAAAGTGAGGGAAAATTTGTTGTTGATGTTATTAGGTGCTCTTGAGTCAGTTCCAATTCATAGTGACCTTATGTACAACAGAATAAAACACTGCCCAGTCCTACGCCACCTCACAATCATTGCTATGCTTGAGAACACTGTTGGAGCCATTGTCTCAATCCATCTCGTTGACGGTTTTCCTCTTTTTCAGTGACCCTCTACTTTACTAAGCATGATGTCCTTCTCCAGGGACTGCTCCCTCCTGATAACATGTCCAAAGTATTTGAGATGAAGTCTTGCCATATTTGCTTCCAAAGAGCACTCTGGCTGTATTTCTTCCAAGACAGACTTGTTCATTATTCTGGCAGTCCATGGTATATTCAATATTCTTTGCCAACACCATAATTTAAAGCCATCAGTTCTTCTTTGGTCTTCCTTATTCATTGTCCAGATTTCATGTGCATATGAGGTGATTTAAAATAACATGGCTTGGGTCAGGCACACCTAAGTCCTCAAAGTGACATCTTTGCTTTTTAACACTTTAAAAAGGTCTTTTGCAGAAGATTTGCCCAATGTAATACGTCCTTTGATTTCCTGACTGCTGCGTCCGTGGGTGTTGATTATGGATCCAAGTAAAATGAAATCCTTGACAATGTCAATCTTTTCTCCATTTATCATGATGTTGCTTAGTGGTCCAGTTGTGAAGATTTTTGTTTTCTTTATGTTGGGGGGTAATCCATACTGAAGGCTGTAGTCTTTGCTCTTCATCAGTGTTTCAAATCCTCTTCACTTTCAGTAAGCAAGGTTGTGTCATCTGCATATTGCAGGTTGTTAATGAGTCTTCCTCCAATCCTGATGCTACATTCTGCTTCATATAGCCCAGCTCCTCAGTTTATTTGTTCAGCATACAGATAGAATAAGTATGGTGAAAGGATATACCCCTGACTCACACCTTTCTTGATTTTAAACCATGCAGTATCCCCTTGCTCTGTTCAAACAACTGCTTCTTAGTCTATGTACAGGTTACACAAAAGCACAATCAAATGTTCTGGAATTCCCATTCTTCACAATTTTATCCATAATTTGTTATGAGCCACACAGTTGAAGGCCTCTGTATAGTCAATACAACACAGGTAAACATCTTTATGGAATTCTCTGCTTTTAGCCAAGATCCTTCTGACACCAGCAATGATATCCCTTGTTCCATGCCCTCTTCTGAATTCAGCTTGAATTTCTGGCAGTTCCCTGTTGATGTACTGCTTCAACTGCTTTTGAACGATCTTCAGCAAAATTTTACTTGTGTGTGATATTAATGATATTGTTAGATAATTTCTACATTCTGTTGAATCAACTCTCTTTGGCATGGGCAGGAATATGGATTTCTCCCAGTCTATTGACCAAGTAACTGTCTTCCAAATTTCTTGCCATAGACAAGTGAGCGCTTCTAGCACTGCGTTCATTTGTTGAAACATCTCAGTTGGTATTGTGTCAATTCCTGGAGCCTTGTTTTTTGTTAATGCCTTCAGTGCAGCTTGAACTTCTTCCTTCAATACCATTGGTTCTTGATCACATACTACCTTCTGAAATGGTCGACTGTTGACAAATTCTTTTTGGTACAGTGACTGTGTGTATTCCTTCTATCTGCTTTTGATGCTTCCTGCATCATTCAGTATTTTACCAACATTAAGCAGCAAGTAGGAGTTGTCTGTAACACGCAAGTTCATAACCCAGGGACGGCCTGTATACTAAATTAGAGTAGAACATTCAGCAAGTGCCTGTTAATCTGTATGTTAGAGCAGATTCAAACCTACTTTCTGAGGAGAAACCTGATCCATGTTGTGAGTGTGTCTTTGTAGTTGAAATGTCCTCACCTTTCATAAGTGGACCTTAACTTTAACATTCTTTTAGGTCATTTGTCATATTAATTCTTAACTGGCATCACAGAATATTGGATTTCCTGGAAATCATTTTGCTCCCTGTTTATCCTCTGTGCGTAATACAGTGCTATATAAATTATACTGGTTATCATCAAGTCTATTCCAACTCAAGGTGACCCAGTGTGTTTCAGACTAGAACTGTGGTCCATAGTGTTTTCAGTGGCTTTGACCTTTTGGAAGTAGGTCGACAGGCCTCTCTTCAGAGGTACCATTATGTGGATTTGAACCACCAACCTTTTGTTTAGTAGCTGAGCAGTTAACCATTTGTATCAGCCAGGGTCTCCATGTAAATTATAAAAAGAAGCCATTGACATCAAGTCAATTCTGACTCATAACAACCCTACAGCACAGAGTAGAACTGTCCCATATGGTTTTCAATGAGTAGCTGGTGGATTTGAACTGCTGATCTTTTGGTTAGCAGCCAAATGCTTAACCACTGTGCAACCAGGGTAGATATCCAATAACTATTTACTAAATGGACAAATTGAGTGTTCTGAGATCTAGTGACACCAAGTTTCTCTAAAAAGCTACAGTAAGATAAAAATGTTTCTGATGAAGTTTTAAAGGGTTTTTTGTGCATCTATTTTTCCATTTATTAAAATCTATGCCTCTATTAAACTACACACAGAATTGTATAATAGGGCAGTCAGTGTATATTGAAGAATATCATAAAAAACAGCCTTATGAAACTCCTAGTGATGTCTATCAGAAAGATATTGCTCAAGGCATATTTCATTATATTTGACAGTGCCCTATTTATGATGACCCCTGGGAGAAATTTTTTTCAAGTTTTAGTAGCAGGAATAATTGCACTTCTCCTGGGTAAATTGATTTGCTATTTTATCATGGATGTTGTAAATTATGAAATCCATCAAATCTCTCTTTTTAT